ACAATTCAACATCTTGAAGTTTACACATTTCCTGCCTCTTTGTGAATTAATGTGGTCAGAGGCAGGCATGTGTATTCACATTCATAATTATTTTTTCTTACAGGTTTATTTCCAAAAATAAATTTCAATGTTATCATTCCATAGCAATAAATCCGTTCATTCACTAATTCAGCAACCTGGAAAATGAATTTTTAAATATAATGTTAGACTTATTATTACAATCTTGAACAACCTTCCTAATGAAAGAAAATAAAAACCACAAATAAACAGACATCCTTGACTTCATATTCTATATGTGGTATAAGACTGATAAACTTAACTTCAAGGCACAAACAGTTGCAAATAACTTAAGTGAAATATTTATAAATAAATCAATTGGAGCTCTCTTGGAAAATAAGAATTTAACAAATATGTGTCAGTTTGAAGTTTGGAGGGACATAGTTGAATTGGATAGAAAATTTCAGTTATAGAAATTTGCTCATGGAATAATCTGTACTCTTATCTTCTTCTTTCTCCCAAAGTCTTTCAACTTACAAAAATCTGCTCCAGAGGATTGGGAGGTACTCTATAACAATATAACAGGTGGTTTCCATGCTCTACTAAGAATGGAAGAAATCCTTCTGCAAATGCTCCTACCACTATTGGGACCTTTATTTTCCACATTCTCCCCAGATCTTTCTTCAGGCCATAATACTTTTCCAGTTTCTCATACTCCTTCCTGATGTTGCTGTCAATTGGCAACAACATCTATCACCACTGCTGTCTTCTGGTCTTTGTCTTCTACCAAGTTGATTGGCCCCTGTCTGAATCTAGAAATCCCACAGGATCCTTTTACTTTTCACAATTTTCTATAGAATGTTCCCTCTAGGCATAGAAGAGGAGAGAGAGAGAGAGAGAGAGAGAGAGAGAGAGAGAGAGAGAGAGAGAGACTTTTCTAAAACCAACCATCAAATACTAGTTAGCAGTGTTCAATTTCACATTTGGAAAGAAAAATTAAAACTATATATGTGATACTTATCAACAGCTCTTCAGCCTTTTCTTAGTATCACATAGCAACCTGAATAGAACTAATGTAGGAAATTGGTATTAGGGAATAAGCTTGGGAGACAGGAGGAATAGGAGCAGCCTAGACACTGTTCCTAAAAAGAAAGTATGAGTTGGAAGGATGGAGGAGAGTAATGAAAACATTTTAGAAAGGACTCTGTAGTTTTAGAACAGAAATGTCAAACTCAATTTCTTTGAGGGCCACATCAGTGTTATGTTTGACCTTGGGGTAGGTGGGCGTGGCCAGGATGGACATGGCCAGCTCAATGTCACTTATGTTGGGGGCACCTGTGGTGGCCCATGCAGGGCTATGGGGATCCATTTTTCTCCAGAGGAGGAAGGTGAGACCAGAGAGTGCCAAACCCTTGTCCTCCAGAACAGGGGTCCCCAACCGCCGGTCCGCGGACCGGTACCGGGCCGCGGAACAACCCTTACCGGGCCGCTGGTTGCTGGGCGCCGCCATCTTTTTTTTTGGTAAAAAAGCGCTTCTGGTGAGCTTTTCCGGGTAGAAAGCTCACCGGAAGCGCTGTTTCGTCATAAAAAGATGGCGGCGCCCAGTTGACGCCGGTACCGGGCCGCGGCGCCCAGCTGATGTCGGAACCGGGCCGCGGCGTCGAAAAGGTTGGGGATCCCTGCTCCAGAAGAGCCTCACCATTCCCCTCAGACCACACGAAGGACTATGCAGATGGCAGCACAGGCTATCTAAAACCCTAGATAGTGGAGGGCAAGTGCGCAACCTAGCCCTCAAGTTCCTAGGGCACCGGGACCTCACAGCCCAGCCAGCCCAGCCCCACTTCTTCAAGAAGATATCCGGCTGCCCTTATCTCCTTGAGGCTGCTGCTGCTGTTCTCATTCTTCTTGGCCAGGTTGTTCATAGTGTGTGTGGGAGGGCAAAGTATGTGGGTCAGAGGGAGGCCCATTCCCTCTTCATGCAAGGAGACCTGGCTTTGTAACCAAAGCATCCTCAGCAATAGGATGAGAGAGCACCAGGTGAGGTCAGGAGGAGGAGACAACAGGATAGCGAAAGGGCAGCAGGGCTGCTGGTGGCCAAGTGCTAAGGCAAGATTTCCCTCAGACACTCTCTCCTTCTCATTATAATCTCCTTTCTTCCTTTCCTTCCTTCCTTCCTTCCTTCTCCTTCCTTCCTTCCTTCTCTTTTTCCTTCCTCTTCATTCTCCTTCCTTCTTCCCCTCTTTCCTTGTTTTTCCTTCCTTGTTCTCTTCCCATCTTTCCTTCTTTTTCTTTTTCTTTCCTCTTTCCCTTTCTCCTTTCCTGTCCCTTCTTGGATGCTTAAATGCAAAAGGGAAATATTTCTCCTTTTGTTTTGTTTTGCTTTTAGTTTTGCTAACCCTCTGCCAGTGAAAACAGAGCCCAGTGTGGGGCCCCCAGCCCCACTTTTGGCTGTGACGGCCTCCTGAGCCCTCTCCAAGCTCCATTTTCAATGGCAGAAGTCTGCAGGAAGTCATTGTGGCCAAAAATGGAACCTGGGAGGGCCACACATGGCCCTCCTGAGCTCTGCTTTTGCTCCATATCATGCACAATATGCTGAATTCTATCAACTACAGTGAATGTAATGCAAAACAAGCTGACTTTGCCAACTAGGTGAGACAAGGGCTAGCACAGCAACAACCCAGCAGTGTGAGTAAGTAACTACATAATTCCAGAATCAGGCACAGCCATTTTAAAGAGTGGCACTGATACCAGGAAAGTGCTTTCCTTTTAAAGCTGAAGTGCTGTCTGGCTTAGTGTACTAAATGGGGTGTTTGTGTATGTTAACAATAATAGAAAATAAAAATAATAAGTATAGATATTATACAACACAGGAATGTGGCAAATTTATGGAGATTGCTTTAATATAACTAGTATTTCATGAATAATCTTTAAGCTTCCACTCAGCTTAAAATGTGGTCTATTTGCTAAAGTCTACTTGTGAGCATCATGGCTGTATAGCAAAATGGTTACTTCTGAATGAGCAGCTGATCATTTAATTTCTCCAAGAAATGTCAGCAGAAATATCAGAGATTCAGAATAGATACATTTTTCTCCAGCCTCTGCTATTTCTTGCCAACTGTTTCATAACCCTTTTCTAAAGATGAATGGCTCAATTTAATTATATAGTTTTTTCTGCATAAATTATTTTGAATTCTAACATATATACAATATAGCTCTATAGATTTCCAATGCTTCATTTTTAATGCCTCACAGTGAACATATACCCTTAAAGTTGCAATCCCATATCAACAAGACTTTCCTTTCAGTAGGTCTGTAAGATGGCATAAAAGGTTATGATACATAAGACAGATACAAAGTTTCTGGTCAATGGGTTGCATCTGTCCACATAGTATGGCTTTCTGATAAAATATAACTTAGATTTATGTCAGATCCCAGCAGTAGCAATGTACTTTATTATTACCACAACCTCTATACGTGCCATAAAGAAACCACTTCACAAATATTCTGTTCTGTGTTCCTTTTTTTGTTCTATATCCAATCATGTGTCCTAATCATTGTCTAATCATTGTTTTAAACCCAATCTGCTGAAATGTGTAATATCTTCTATTATGGTATTATCCATTTTACAGTCTTAATTTGATTTTAGATGCATTTCCTTTTCCCATAGTATATTTCAAAATATTCTTTTATTTTGGCAAACCCGAAATTCCAGAAAATGGAGTAGGGGAGACATGACATTTCAGTGATATGAAAACCAAATGCTACCATGGAGAGTTGACTGAAGGAAAAGGAAATCTGTGTCCTGTTTCATGAGAATATTAGAAGCACAGGAGAACAGATGACTATTGGGCTATTTAAGATAATTGTGGTGTTGATACAGATGATCCTGCCAGATTACATCACTTGTTATGGAAGCTGATTCCTTCACCTCCTGAACTATAGACTAAGATCAATTTCTCCTGCCTGTATTTTGATTGATTGCTACAGATAACAAGATACCACATTGACTCTCCCAATCCTAATCAGGTTGAGCCTGCAACCTATACATGTATAGTAGAACTTTTTCTTCTGTCCTGAACAATCAGCACTCACTTTCTTTAACATTACATGTACATTTAAAGCACATGGAAATGTTAAATGCCACCTGTAATGAAGCAAAGAGGCAAGATGGATAGGCAGCCCTTCAGAAAGATATGTCCAACTAAGGGCTTTCAAGATTAGAGTTTCCAATGAAACAATCATACAACTGACTGGAAAGCCTTTCATTTGGGAGAGAAGCCAATATAGCAATCCGATCCACATCTGCTGTAAATAAAATCTCATTTGAGTCATGCTTGACTCCTGACAACTGTATAATTGGGTTTACCATTTTGGTTTATTTGGCAACGAAGCAGAAGTTGCTTGCCACTCCCTTCTTATTTTTTTTGACTACTCTGTTGTACATTCTGCAGTGTTGAATAGGGCATATACTAGTGGAAAATGTGTGCAGGGTGACTGCCAAAGGTTCTTCCTAGGTCCACAAATATTGTGGCAACTTGCCAAAGAAGGAAGATGTCAATTCTCTCAGTTTTTGAACATTTCAGTATTATGAACATTTCAGTTTATGAACATTTCAGTATTGTATCTATTGTATCTATTTTTATCAGATAAGTACTCAGGAAATGCTGACTTGGCAAAAGCATTCATTAAGCGTACTGGTGTTCACAGTACTTCTGTTCCTTTTCCCCTTTTATTCTAAGAATTAAGTATTTTATGTACATTGAAACCTGTTAATGCCTTTTAAACAGTTCTGTTTAGTTGTTCATAAACAATAAAGTTACTGTAGGTATCTGTGGCAAAAAGCACAATCAAAATTGCTTCAATACTAGTATGTGTGTATATGTGTATTTGTATTTGTATACATACACATAGATTTTTTTCTACATATATGAATATTTGTTCATTTTACATACAGACAAACACACACACACACACACACACACACACACACACACTCAATAAATGTTGTAGGATAACTTGTAAGATTTTCATTGGAAGAATATACAGCCACTTTCCTTTCGTTAAAGTTGATTAAGATCTCTATCAAAAGTCATGTGTGTGTGTGTGTGAGTATGTGTATATATACATACATACATATATGTATGTATATACCCGTATACTTATACATACATACACATATACACACATCACAATAAATTAACACTGCATAGGTCATTGTCCTTGTTTTGCTTTTGTTCTGAAAAATTATTGCAGTACACTCAATTCATTGATGGAGTTCAATATGGAGCAAACAGGACAGGTGTGTGGGTCGTCCGTATAGGTCCAGGGGCAGGTCGAAGAAGTGAGGGAGGAAGTGCAGAAGTCTGAAAAAGTGTAGCTGGTGGGGCTGTTCGAAGACTGAAAGGGGAATTTACAGCAACAGCAGCAGCTGCTGCTGCAGCTGCCAGTGGATTGGGGAGTATCCGTGGAGCTACTGGTTTTGCAGCTTCTTTTGAAAATACAAGTTTGACCTGAAAGAGGAGGGACAACATAACAAAGAATGTTATTTGTTCAGATCACAAACACTGAAAATGAATTTTTATGCAAAATATCTAACATACTTGATATAGCAAAAGGAAAGGTAAATCAAAGGTTTTAAAGGAAAATAAAATATTTTAAAAATGAAAATAAGTAAATAAGAACAACAGAAAAGAGGCTTAATATATATAAGGAATCAGAAACTCATTACATTCTGATAATCAATATTTACAGATTTCATACTGGACAAAACTTGTTCATAAATTGTTATGCAAAGGTTCTCATTTTATGAGAAACAAATGTTCATTTTCAATTTTCCCAATATATCTCTCTCCATTTCCTGATTAACTGTCTTTCTGTAAACAAGCTGTCTTTTTAACATCAAAATGCAAAATGCAAGGTCCTACCATGTTCCCAAACAGAACTTTGTATATGACCAAAGGAAACAATGTATGGAATGAGAATTCTATTAGGGGCATATGGAATTTCACAACGGATTGCTTCAATGAAGCTTTCAATGAAGCCAGTTTAATCACCAGGCTAGAAACCAGGAGACTGTAAATTCTAGTTCTGCCCTAGGAATGAAAGCCAGTTGGGTCAGTCACTGCCTTTCAGCCCAACCCACTTCATAGGATTTTTGTTGTGGGTAAAATAGGAAGGGTTATTATATATGTTCATCACCATGAATTATTTACAAATTATAATAAAGAAAGTGGAATAAAAATAGACTGACAGACAGATATAGAAAAGGGATGTCAAACTCAATTTCATTTGAGGGCCGCATAAGGGTTGTCTTTGACCTTGGGGGCCAGGGTGGGTGTGGCCAGCTTGACATCACTTGTGTCAAAGGTGCCTGTGGTGGTTGGAGTGCTCTGCCAGTGAAAACGGGCTCCCGAGCTCTATTTTCAGCTGCAACAGTCTCCTGCAACCCTCTGCCAGTGAAAATGGAGGGCCAGCTGTGGCCTTCAATCCTTTTCTGTTTCCAGGGCAGCCCTGTGGTCCATATCTAAGCTCCCCAGGGGCTGAATCTGGCCCCCGGGCCTTTAGTTTGACACCCCTGAGATAGATAAATAAATAGATAGATAGATAGATAGATAGATAGATAGATAGATAGATAGATAGATAGAGATAGATAGATAGATAGATAGATAGATAGATAGATAGATAGATAGATAGATAGATAGATAGATAGATAGATAGGCAGGCAGGCAGGCAGGCAGGCAGGCAGGCAGGCAGGCAGGCAGGCAGATGAATAAGCAATGCACTCCCTTGAAGCAAATCATGAAGAAAGCTGGGCCACTGGCATCACTTATAGAAAGTAGAAAAAATTCCTGCTTCCGGTTTGAGTTCCTTTGGCGACAGACAGAAATTGACGATCGTGCACGGTTTCAGTCCGGGCTCGCCGCTGGAGCGCCCCGAGCTGGCTGGTTTCGGGGCTAAGCCACCCCGTAGAGGTGGTAAAGAGGGGGGAGACTGCCGCATCTCTCCTCCTCAGCTGGCCATTACTCCCTTTCCCGAAGGCGGTTGCAGCGGTGGTCAGAAATGGCCACCTCAAAGAAGAACTCGACCGGAAAAGAATGTGAAGGAGGAAGATAAGAAGTGAAAGTTTTGGCTGACTGGGTTAAATTGCAAAAGCAACAACTAAGGTACCCTGGAATTTAAATTTACAAAAAAATAACATCGCTCCCAAAGAAGAGTCAGAAGCAGTGAAGGAAAGTGAAAAGGGAAAGGTTTGGTTTTTTTCTTCTTCTCTCCCTTTCCCTATACTGACAGAGACTTAAATAAGAGACTTAAATAAGAAATCGGAAAAATCCGACATCAACAGACAATTAAGCTGAAAATAAAACAAAATATCAAAGGGATAATAAAGATTTCTGGACACTAAATTTTGTTTTCATAAGCAGGAAGGGAGAGAAAAAGAATAAAAGGGCAGGATCTGGAAAGAGGGAGGAGACTGCCTGGAATTAAAAAGAATCTACAGTAAAACTTCTAAAAGATACATTTTAACTGAAACTTTGTAACTAAACAGTAGAACCCCAGGAAGAGAAAGTGAAAAAAAAGAGCAAAAAGAAACAGCTTGCGTGTATTTGGATTACTTGGTGATCTTTGGATTCTTGCTTATTGCATTTGAATGACTAAAATTAATCGGGTGGTTATTTAAAAATTTATACAATGGCACCACTTCTGGATGAATTGAAAATGGAACTAAAAAAGTACAAAGAAGATGCACAAGAAGGGAGAGGTTCTTTTGGCTTCGTTTTTCAATTCTTAGAAATGGAGATTTGGAACTATGAGAAACAACAAGAAATGTCTACAAAACAAGAAGACTGGGACAAAGAAGAAGCCATCTTTAATGAACAAGTAATTCTATGTGGGGAAGAAAAAGGAAAGAGGGGAAAGAGAATGGAGAATTTAAGACTTAAAAAAACAACCAAAGAAAAGAAAAATAATTCGAAAAATGAGTATAATACTGGAAAGCAACAGAAGAGGGGAATACAGAAGAGAGAAATAGAGGTAGAGAGACAAGGGGGTAAAAAGGGGAGAGGAAAGAAGAGAGGGAAGAAGGAAAGGAAAAGAAGTTGCAAAGGACCGGAACAAGATATAGAGAAACAGGACCTATTTAGAGATAATGGGTGAAAATTTAACTGAAAAAGGGATTCTGTAAAGGTACATAAGATTGTATTGTTATATTAGTAATAGAAATAACTTTAGAAAATTGGAAACAATGTATGATTAAAATGAGGGATAAAATAGTTAGTGTAATTTAGTGAAATGTTTGTTAATAAAATAAGTGAAATAAAATAAATGAGAAAATTGAATTTGGAAGGGACGGGAACATTTTAAGTAGTTAATGTTTTATAAAATATAAGTGAAGGGGGGGAATTAATTATGGAAAGCTTATAATTGTTCCCATAGAAGTATGATATTTAATTGAAAAATAATGTTAAAGAAGTTAAGATTTTAATGAATATTAACATTAATGATAGAATTGAATTGGAATGGAATGTGTTGTTTTAATTATATACATTTATAATTTTTTCTTTTTTTAAGAATATAGTGTGTATTTTAAGAATGTACCAAGCAGACACTTCTGGTTTGTCAGCTTCGGCAGCGGCAGGGATTCGCGATACTGCGCGATCCCTGCGGCGCTAGCCGTCTTGGTGCCTCTGATCCGGATGGGTCTGGAGGCTAAGGCTGCCCCGTAGAGGCAGCCGAAGATAGGAGGGATCCGGACAGGGGGTTGGGGTTTTCGCAGACCCCTTCCCCACCCGGCTTAACCCTCTTTTCTCAAGGCGGTGGAGCGGCGGTCAGCAATGGCTGCCACAAAGAAGCTGACAGCTGGATAAGATTGTGCTGGAGGAAGAAGGAGAAAGTTCTGAAGCGAAAGTTTTTTGGCTGAACTGGACTATAAGCTACAATCAATATCCTGAAAATCCTGATTTTTTGAAAGATACTTTGTTTCCAGAAGAGATTTACAAGCTGCGAGTGAAAGTGCTTAAAGAGAAAGTTTACTCTCCTTCCTCATGGATTTAACAAATGGATATTGAAAATCCTGCTATTTTATAGAAGGTAAAAATTTAAAGCTTTCTGTTATAAGTGGGAAGGGAGAGGACAAAAGGAAAATTTATATTAAGATTTTGTTGGAGGAGATGCCTGGAAGATTTTGAGATTGGAAGTTATTTGCAATAAGACTTTAAAATACAGATTGGTTTTTTTTTTCCCTTTTCAATTGATATTATCCCAGGAAGAAAAAGTGTGAAGGGAAGAACTTTGTGCTCTGTTTGGACTGTTTGATGACTTTGGGACGTTGGGAATTGTTTTAAGCCTTGAATTATCTTGGTTGTTTTAAGAAGAAAAAGAAGGGAAAAAAGAAGGAAAAAAAGGTTTATAATGACTTTATCTGTTGATGAACTGAGAGAGGAATATGGCAAAATAAAGAAAGAAGGAAAAGACACTGTGAAAGAAATTTTTCGCTTTTTAGAAATGGCGCTTGCTACTTATCAGAAAACACAACAATTGATGGAGGAAGCAGAAGAAGAAGAAGAAGCCATCTTTAATGAATCTATAAAGTTGATTAAGAAAGGAAGGAGAAAGAGAGGAAGGAAAAAGGACATAAGACTTAAAAAAACATCCAAGAAAGTGAAAAATAAGATGCAAAATCAATACAACGTTAAAAAGCAAAAGAAAAGAGAAATACAACAGAGAGGGGAAGTTAAGGGGGGTAAAAAGACCAGATGGGATAAGATAGGGAGGAAGAAGGGGGAAAAAAGCCACAAAGGTATGAAACAAGATGTGCAAAAGAAATTTTTTTTTAGGGATAAAGGGTAATATAACTTTGTTTTAGGATTCTGCAAGGTACATAAGATAGTATTATAGTATTTGTATTAGAAATAGAAAATTAGAATCTTATAAGACTTGAGTAAAGATAAAAACATTAAAGGTTTAATAACTTAATAAAATATTAAAAGGAATGTTTAAAATATTTAGTTTAAGTATAGAGTTCAATTGACTATTGTGTGGATGTTAGTATGAATATATTATTGTAGTATTTTGTTTTTGAGATAGATAATTGGAATGTTATGAGATTTAATCTTTAATTATATATTTAATTACTTTGTGGATTTATTACTTTCTTTCTCTAAGTAGTATGTACTAAGCAGAATCAGATAGGGAACTAGGTGTTAACTTAAATGTTAATTTAGGGGTGCGATGGAAAGGCATCATACTTCGATTAGTGATTTCAGGAGAAATCTTTTTTTTTTTTTTTTTACTATAGGGAATGAGATAAATAGATAATTGGAAAAGAATGGACAAAAGATACAAGTATAATGATTCAAACTAAGATGTAATAAATAAAATAGAATTAAGAAGAGTGGAAAGCGGGGAGAAGTTATAATGAAGATATAGAATGGTAAACAAGATAGGTAATGACATATAAGATGAATATGAATTTAATTGAAGTCCATACAAAGAGAGGTAATCCGGGGCAAAGCTACTTTTTTGAAAAAGAAGTTTTATTTTTTGTGTTTTGTGTGTGTATGTTTATTTGAGATTTAATAAAACCTTGGAGGAAAGCGAGAGGAGAATAATTGCAAACAGAGGGAAATATGAATAGGATGACTAAGTGCAAAGAGAAGTAATGAGAAATTTGCTAAAAGATATTTAAGTGGAAATGGGATAGAATTGTATTGTATAAAACAATGTTTTATCTGCCTTGTAAAAATTTATAATGGAAAGAGGTTTAATGATGTTTTGTTTGTCTTTAAAAATTAATAAAATTTGTTTCAAAAAAAAAAAAAAAGAATGTACCAAGCAGAATCCAAATGGAAGTTATGTATTATATTGAATGTTATAACTTTAGGGTATATATTGAAGCTTAAATAAGAGTTAAATGGATAAACTTAAAAGATATAAAGGCGTCATACTCCAATCAGTAACTATAGGAGAAACTTTGTTTAATGAGAAAAGATAATACCGTGTTTCTCACATAATAAGGCCGGGCCTTATTTTTTTTTGACCCCCGAAAAAACGGCTAGGACGTCTTTCCGGGGGGTGACTTAATTCTCCCCCCTTGCATCCTCGGGTGGG